AGGACCCTGAGATCATGACCTGAGCCGAAGGCAGAGGCTTTAACCCACTGAGCCACCCAGGCGCCCCGTTTGAAGAATATTTTAAATGACAGCATTTAGGAGAGTCCTAACAGGTAGCAGGAGCTCAGTGGTTGAGTATTCTGGGGACTCAGACACGCCCTCAGGAAGTCGTCCAGCTGTTGAGGAGGCAGACCCATAGACCAAAAACAACCCTGAGCCATAAGTGAAGGAGAGAGTGGTCGCTGGTCGGGTAGGAATTTCTGATTTCCCTCACACGATGCTCTCATCTGCCCTGGGATGTTGTTTCATGGGTCAGGGCCCTCATTTGTATTTGTTGGCGATTGTTTTCTTTCCTAGTGTGACTGCTTAAAATTGAGTGCCGGATCTCCACCTGCCATATTGCTAAGGAAGCTTTATTTCTTTTCATCATTTCCAGAAAAGCGCCTTCTGCCAATTTAATTCTCTGTGGGATTGGTGTCTTGATTCTTAAGGTGCTTGCAGCATGCTCTCTGTCTCCTATCAGAGAGCTCTTCGTTCTTTGGACCCCTGCCCTGTGCTGACCATTTGTATTGTATTTCTGCTAGCGTTGTTAACAGTAGGATGTCTGGGGTGTTTTTAATTCTTTCCCTTCTGTTAGAAAGAGTAATTTCTTATTTGGGGTGGGAAGTTGGATGTCTATATACTTAGACCACTTGAGGGCTGAAGCTGAGAGAGTTTCCTTTAAAATCATCCTAATCACCAAATCGGGGGGACACTTACCCTCATCTGCAGAATCTACGAAGCTGTTTCCAGAAATGTGGCTTTGCTGTTTTCCAGTGCAGTTCTCCTTCTCTAAATCGGACTTCCTCAACTTGAGCACTGTTGACCTTTGAGGCTGGATAATTCTTTGTCATGGGGGCTGACCTGGGCATTGTCAGGCATTCAGCAGCGTCCTGGGCCTCAACCCATAAATGCCCCACTGAAATTGCCCAATTTTAACAGCCAGTAAATGTCTGCATTTTTGCCAGATGTCCCCGTTGGAGGGCCAGCTCACCTCAGGTTGAGAACTACTCTGGATAATGAACATATGGAAGTAGGTTGACATATAAATTATAAAATGTATTGATAAGCAAAGCAAACACATTCATAAGGACAACAAATTGCTGCAGAGCATTTGATGTGAGCCAGACGCCATTTTAAGAGCTCTTTTCATATAAGTAGCCTCATCGAGTGAGGCACCCTTGTATCATAAGTACCCACACTTTATGGATGGGGAAACTGAGGCTTGGGGTCTGACCAAGATTCTGAGCCCAGGCAGTGTGACCTCTAAAGTCAATGACTTGAACTTACTGTGCTGTTTTTTGTTGTTTTTTTTTTTTACACAAAAAGTTACTGGATTAGATATCTACCTGGCATAGCATGGGACATTACCTTGGTAGCTGCTTAGTAAATATTTAAGTGAATAAATGAATAGCCATAAATCTAGGAAACTGCTTACTATTTTAATTTGGTATTGAAAATATTCCTTATATTAGTTCATTTCAATTTTAAAAATACACTTTTCTGGGCGCCTCGGTGGCTCAGTTCGTTAAAGCCTCTGCTTTCTGCTCAGGTCATGATCTCAGGGTCCTGGGATCGAGCCTCATATCGAGCTCTCTGCTCAGTGGGAAGCCTGCTTTCCCCTCTCTCTCTGCCTACTTGTGATCTCTATCAAATAAATAAAATCTTTAAGAAAAATAAAAATACACTTTGAATACAGCCAACTAACTGTCATGTATTAGAGCAGAGGGTCTCAGCATTTCTCTGCTCATTCACAGGAATCTTGGAAAAGATCTGTCAAGGTAACCTCTAAAGCTTCTGTTTGTGTGCTAGTGCAGTTTCGTAAAAAGTATGTCAGAATGAAGACTGGTCAAACTGAACAAAGTACTTTCCTGATGAAATGAAGCAAAGCATCATTCTTTGTCCCATAAGAAGGAAAGAAAATTCATCCTCCGTCCTCAACTAAGTATGCATTCTGATGCACCATATGATAGTTTGACCTAGCTTCAGACCTTATTAAAAATTGAACATCTTTAACTAACAGGAAACCACTTTAGCCGATCAATCTTTAGCTTTCCATAGTTGGCTTCCTATAATAGATAAGAGGGCTGGACTCCAAAGTTTGTTACAAATGTATTACATCTGATTTATATCTAAGTGGGAAGCCTGTATTTTATATGATAAAATATAAAAACACATTTTTTGTGTTAAAGACTTTTAATATGTACTTCTGGAAGGCCAAAGAATGGAAGCTTCCAGAATGCCAACTAAAATAACAATAAAAGAAATGTAACTATAAAATAGCAAGAAGACAACTTAATCACAATTACTTCCTCTTGTTGGTTCTCTTAAAACTACTGTTATGAATTGTAATAATTTTATCCAACGAGACCATAATTAATATATTTTCTTATTGTTTAGATGATCTTTTAAAAACTGAGTAGCTTCTTTTGTTCCCTTAATTCTGAGGAGAAGTCTGTATTGTAAGGACAATACTAGAAAATATCTCAAGTTCCAATTTTCTTAGAAAAACATCTTCCAGATATCATGTGATAAGAGACATAATAGTACCAATACATTTTATCTTCTTCAGTAATAGTAAGGGATATTTTTGTGTCTTGATCTAGGGTGTTTGCTTACAGCATTAGATTTCATGATCTCTATAATGAGTACTTACCATACAGTAAGTAATCTGTAATTTACCTCCCATTCAGTCTTGACGCAGAGCATTACTTTGCTATTAGCATTTAGAGTGGTCCTCCTGATACCTAAATCAACTGGATTTACCTGGATATAAAGTGGCTGATGAGTACACAGACGTCTAGGGGAATAGTAGCGTCATTCAGGCATTCTTTATAAGTTTGGAATTTTGGAAAACTGCAGAAAACAAAACCAAGCAAAAATAGAACTCCTCAAAAAATAGAAAGGACTTTTTTAAGGTTTGAGGTTGTTCTCCTGGTTGATAGCCAGAATCTGGGCTCCCCTGCTTCAAGCTCTGAAGTTGCCAAAAACAATTCTACCTATAGAGTTAGTGAGGCTTATTATGTTTTATGAGGTAGCCTTCAGAAAATAGTGTGATTGACCATTGTAGAGCTAAGAGCGAGCTAAGCTTTCATTAGTACATATATACCATTTAATGTACTCGAAGGTCAAATTGATGGCCAGTCCAGAATACATTTTTGCATGACCTGGAGTTTTGTTTTGTTTTTAAAGTTGCCAGCATGAGTAGAAAGTCAATAGACCTCATTCGAAGAGTATCTTTCCCTTTAAAATTAAAATGGCTATACCATCAAGTAGTTTATTCTTCCATGAAAATCTGGCCTATATATACTGCCCCCTCTTATGAGAGTAATAATACTATGCAATCTATATATAATATTTTAAAAGAACCGTTTACAAGATGCTGAAAGGCACAGCTATTATGTCGTGTTGTATCTACTTTACAAAAGTGGGGAAATACTGTAGCTAAAGGGCTGCTCCTTCCAGCAGCCTTCTAAATAGTTATAGATGTTAGATTTTATGGTTATGATAATGAGTTTGTTACATTGGAGAGGCATTGAGATTCAATCTCACTACACATTAAAAGGGAAGTAGGAATCCCTGTATGTCTTACTCAGTCATTGAATCTGGAAATGTAAAATCTGAGAGATGTTTAAGATGTGTAAGTAATGAAGGGAACCAAATCTGGAAGATAGGACTCCTTTGTAAGAAAAAAAAAATACCGTACTTTTTAATGATTATCTCAGAAATAGAACTATGGTTGAGAGGTGGATTTTAAGTTGTAAACCACATAAATTATTGGATAGAATTCTTTTGATGAGAAGAAATTAGATACTGACAACATGAGATGATCACTTAAAGAGCCATGTTCAAATCCGTGTTGCTAACAATGAAATGATCATCATAGTCTAAATATATAATTTGCTCTGTTACATGTGAGGAATATGTGTGGCTGACTTATTTAATTAATAGGTAACCGGTTCTACTGATTCCATAGATTCAGAAGAGAGATTTGCGAGTACCAGCTGTGGTCATCATTACTCTTTTATCATTGTTCAGCCTCTGAACATTGGAGAAGAGTGGAAATTAGGCCAGTGCTATTCACAACACAGCATACACTTCTACAAAAAGAGATCAGTGGGAACTGAAGAATTATGTTGTCATTTTCAACCTCCTAAAATTAAACATTCAGACACCAGAATTTGGGTACTATTTGGTGAATTTTCTATATTTAAAAAAAAATTCTTATTAAGATGGGCACACTTAGATAAGGATCTTAGTGTAAGTTGTCAGGGAGAGGAAAGTGTTTTCTTCTGATAGTTTTAATAGAATTATGCTATTTAGCCATAGAAAAAAATGAGAATTTTTATTTATCTGGTATCTCTAGTTCTAACAAATGTAGAAATTTGGAGATTAACTGATTAATAGATATTTTGATAATGATGTATACAGCCCATGTAAAAGTTATTTTAATGCAGCGATGACCTCTTAGCTCATTACACAGTCTTCAATGTGCACAAATGTTGCTGAGAATTTGATACAATGTCAGTTTTTCTAAATGTTGGTGAATATATCTACCCACCTTGTGTTTCTTAACAAAAGAGTGCAGTGCTCCCAATTGCATTTCGAATAATTTTAAACACGAAGAAGACTTAACAGTTAATTCTCTGTTTCTCACAAGTAAAACCAAATAAAGTTGTCTAAGTAGCTTCAGTTTTTTCTAGAAGTTTGGCATTATCACCTATCTCTTTTCAATAACTTAGGAATTAGTCAAAAGCTTTTAAAAAAAAATTACTATTAGCTCTAATAGACAGGACTTCAGTTTTACTTTATTTTTTTTTCCCTAATTCGAGGTGCATGTTACAGCTTGCCATTGTGGTCATTGTGGTTCATTTCATTAAGCTTCTTGTTCTATCTGCTTTCTTGAGACTTGGGAAAGAGTATTTTTCTGAGTGATTGTACTATATTGTTCCAAATATAAGGCCACCCAGAATAGAAGGCAACCTCCAACTAGAAACAGCTCAAATATGGAGAAAGGCTGGGGGCCCAGAGCCCGGCGGGTCTTGCAGTGGTGGCAAGGGTGCCGAGGAATAGGAAGATGCCTGCCCACTCTCCCGGTGAGTGAAGATGGGTCAGCTGCTGCATTTGCTTATGCATACAGATGGCTTTTGTTGCTAGAGGAAAAGTGACACTGGGGGGTAGAGAGCAAATCTGTACACATGAAAGAAAGTTGCTGTGTGTGTGTATTCTGGGGAGGGAAGCTGGGAGTCGAGTCTTTCATCTCCTAAACGATCAGCATCAGTGTTGTTGTTTTGCTTTTTTTTTGTTTTGTTTTGTTTCCTGAACTTGGGGTTGAAAGTTAAGTAACCTCAAGCCAACCGGAGAATAAAGGTACCATGCACCTTTCAGGAAAAGAAGTTTAAAAGATCCCTGGCCATGTAAATGAATTGTCTGTAGACCAGCCCAGAAAATTATTCCTCGCCTTTTAAAAGTGCTCGCTGACCCAAGAGGTGGTGCGTGCACTATGTGATCACGTGTTGTTGGAAAACAACCTGGAAGCTGGGAATCACATTTCCAGTTTTATTAAGATTTTCTTCTTTTTAAATTCCCTGTCTCCTTGAGGCAGCCAAGTCACAATTTAAACAAACAGGCTTGACGTTATTGTAAAAAATTCCAAGGGACTGTTTGAAATCAGTTGTTTCACTAGCATTCTACTCAGCATATTTTAAAAACAGTTATGTGAAAATGTATTAGTCAACTAAGAGGGGATATTGATTGAACCTAGATAATTCTTCAAATATCAGTCACAAAGATACATGGCCTTTTATTTTAGAGTAATTAAATGGGATTTGATTGAATGAAGTGCTTGATTGTGTTATAATCTAGAAAAGGACGGAGCACCTGTTGGTATACAACTTTACCAGGCATTTGCTTACCTTCGTGACTTTACCAAAAACCACATAAAATACGAACAATGATCTTTCCAGTAATAACTAGTCCTTGGCACAGAAGGAGAACTTTAATCCCTGAATGAGTTTTCCCCACTGGGCAGTTCCGACTTTAGCCATTGTTATTATTTCAAAAAATAGTGTTTAAGGGAAGAACAGTACTCTCCTTTTGTTTTAACAATGCTAGCATACCGAAACAAATAATAGAAGGAAACTTATTAGAAGTTTTAAGGTGGTGAAGGGGCCCACCATTCCCCCAACATCACCACCAAATTTTGGACACCCTTTTCCTGTATAGAGATAAAATGTTTCCAAAATGAAGGAGTTCTGAAGGAAGCTCTTCTCCGAAGAGCTCTGGTTCCCTACTATTCTCTTTTCCTATCTGCTTCAAACTTCTCATTTAGGACGCACCAGTGCAATGCAGGTGGGCCTCTGGTTGCTAATCTCACCGGGCAGGCCATAATTTTTAGCTATCCCTCCTTCCAGCCCTTCCTGTCCAACCTTCTGCTGCCCAGCACTTCTGTTTCAAATGTTCCCTTCCCAGAGCTGGAAAAATGTAGGCATATCAATTCTAGCGTGCTTTTGCTTGGGTGTGGGGCCTTTGATCTTTTGGGGGCATTAGATTTGAAAGAATGTCTAAAATCAATGATAACTGGTTTCTATTATTTGTTTCAGGCACTATTATGTCTGATCTGATCTGAATTACAAATACAGGGAAACATAGACATTCTCCCCCCAGAAGGTGTTGGGACTATCATAATTGGCTTTCCTATGTCATCACCTACTATTAACATAATCATTAGTAGCAGTAGAGGACAGAGCTGGAGAGGTATGCTAAATGTCCTATTCCATGGCTTCCTCTCCCTGGTGGTTAGTAAGGATGGGGGCAGCTCCCAATTTGATTGCATATTTCTTTGAGCAAGGAAAAGAACATGGCTCTAGTTGGCTTGTGATGTGGCAAGGATAGCCTTCAAGGACATAGGAAGAAAGAGTGGCAAGGGAAGGGGGAAGATTCTCCAAACTGCAAAAATGACCATCTTTGTGAAAATCAATGGAAGTTGTCAACTTCTCTACAAAGAATATGGTCTGCATAAAACCCATACTTGTACCTGTTGCTGCTCTCAGATCCTCCCTTCCCATCCCTAAAATGCACAACAAAGAAGCTCTTCTGTAGGTGCTGGAAAATAAATGTCCCTAAGCACAGTTGTGTCTTCCCTTTATGAAGCTACCCACAGTGGCTCCTTCTCAGGGTATTAGAGTCATAAGATCAAGGGAAATGGAGCAGTTATTAATCTGTTAGGCATGAAGAAAATCTGTAGATTTTCTGGGCAGAAATTAAATTCAGGCCCTTTGAGTATCATGATCTCCATAAGAACAGGTTCAGGAAATTCCCATTTGGCTGCTTTTTCTAGGAGGGGACATAATTGAAGTTTTACTTTTTCCCAGTTCCTGTATGGGTGGCGAGGATTCTCATAGACCAAGTTAATCTTGCCCAAGTGCTGATTTTTCAGCAATGAAGTCAAAGAGTCACATAAGTACAAATATGTAATTTGTGGCCATAGTTTTTTATTTTTTGTTTTTTTTTAAACAAAAAATAATTCTACCTTAAAGCAAATGCTGAGTTTGGGTAAATCTCTTTGGAAAATGCTCCGCTTTAGGACTTTGCTTCCAAGAAGGGTTTTATAAGACACACCGTTTCTCCAATGCAAGAATGAAATGTGTGCATATTTCCTGAGACATATGGAATATACCATTTGTCTTGCTGAGTGAGCATGTTTAACTCAGCTGCTGAGTATCTCGCAAATTCCCTACTCTTGAGTATCTTTAAGTTTTAAAAATCATTCTTGAAATGTTCTTAATGGGCATTCCTGAGGGGGCATTGTTCTCTTTGGCAAATCAGGAATGACATCTGGACATGCATAGTGATGGCTCTTGCTTAAGTGTTCTTGCTGGTCAAGCAGCAAGCGTATTCCAATTAATAGGTTTAGAGCATCTTAGGGCAGGCTAGAAAAAACGTAACTAAGCAGGTGATTCTCATTTGGCAGTGAAATTGAATACTGAATGACATCTATGCAGTTATTAGACGACTTTTGTTTTAATAACAAAGTTGTTGATTTTCTACTAAGGGTTCTTTTAGGTTGTCATCTGGGGCTGATGGGAGTAACAGTCCACCCAACTCTCCAGCTAGCTTCAGTGGACATACCACACCTTCTCAGCAGCCTGAACCCGTGGTACATTCTCTTAAGGTAACCAACTGTGTCCAACCGTTGATCCAGAATTTCAGTTGTGTTGTGGCTTGTTTGCTCTGGTCTGGTAGTCCTCACAGTCTTGTTTTAACTGTAGAGACTTTGATTTTTGAATTTTTTTTTTTTTTTTTTGCAACTATGAGTTTGAGTACTTCCGGTTGAAAAATCTCTAGTTTTATCATTTTGTTTTGAGTAATGTGATTCATATCACTCTGCATTGAAGTTGAAGTCTGATGTGCATGTATATCCATGTGTGTAAACTCTTGTTCTGGGTATTTGATGGACAATGTCTTTAGCATGCATGATTTCAAAAGAGGGTCTCAAGGATTGGCCAAAATAAGGAAGGATACCTGAGTTTTCTTTCTGGATGCAAGTGAAATACATGGTGCCATGACTAAAACAAAATCTTGAACTAAAATCCTCCTCTGTCCCCCCATTAACTGGAAATTAGGTCTTCAAACTCTAGTTAATGCTGTTCCATAGAGTGTTAGAAAACAGGTCTTATTCATAATGCTAGTTTTATTTTTGGTTTTTACTTCAGATCCTCCAAGTATCTGTCAAAAAGATCCAGCTGAAATGCATTATTTATTTTCTTTACCAATAGTTTTCTAATAGGTAAGCATCATAAGTAAAATTAATAATATATTATCTAAGAGAAGAAACTGATACAGGCAATAAAAATCACCTTAACAATTAGGACAGTTCCCTGAAATTTTATCAGTTCCAAGGTATGACTCACTGTCCTTCAAATTATCTGTAATTCCTAACACGTAGCCTTGATCAAACCTTTCGGAGTTATCAGGTATGTTGCATGCTTCAGTCCTGTACTTGCCCTTGGAGTTTCACAGCTTTACTAAAATAGTTTTGGTTTTGGAATGATTTATCAGCAGCCTTAAGATGCACTCTTTTGGAGTGGGCCACACTTTCTGGGGCATGCATAAAGCAAATAACCAGATAAGAAATTAAGAATATGTATTGGATTTGGTTTCAGCAGGAGATACAGCTCCCCCATTATATTTTGCTGTAACTTCCATGAAATGAGCTGCTCCTCCCAAGCATATACTGATTGCAGATGTGGGAAGGTAGCAGAACCATGCAGCTGGCCAGGGCGGTGCACTTGGCACTTCCATCTTGGTTGGAATAACTCACCAAGTGAGGAACCGAGAGGAATTCGCGTGGGATGACACAGCGGAATGAGGGCACCGCCGTGCAGCTAGTGGGGGCTGTTTTATCAACTGACCACCGTCTTGCTCTGGGTGGCAGCATATGGATGTCATGTAGCATGAGCAGCCTGATAAACGGGCTGTTACTTGAGCATGAACCAGACGCTAGCTCTCGGAAGAGCATCTTAGAAAGAAAAAATGAGTGTCTTTAGTCCTGTACTATTAGCATCTGCACATACTCTGCTCTACTTTTTGGATTGAAGACTGCTTCTGCCCGTTGCCTTATTAAGTGGCAAGTGTAGTTTGAGTCAGATCAGCATAGTGGATAGCACTGCAATCTTTCTTCAATTTTTCATTGCACCTGTGTTCCTATGGCTTGGAAGGGAAGGGCAAGGAGGAGCTCTTCAATTTTCTCTGAATTCGTTCTCTAATTTTCATATAAAATTTTTATCTTAAGAGAGAAAAATAATTGTTATAATCAGAACATATTAAGTGTCCTCACTCGGCAGATGGGTAGTACTGAGCAACTGAAGCATCTTTATTGGCTAAGGGGAGGCTCTTGAATACAAAATACATTTGCTTCCATGAATTAATTGTGTCATGAAACAGAAATATGTGCCTATAGGACATATTGCCTCTGGGAAATGCGTCTTAGGGATATCACAGCCTAAAAGAAGAAATGTAGCCACTCAATGTGTCTTGTTTTCAAAAGCCCATAGATCCTAGAGCTGATTTATAACATAAAATTTCTCTGTTGTGAAAGAATTAAAACAATGGCTCAGTTTCTCATCTTCTGATAGATTCCCCACCAACCCCACCCGCCGCCACCGACCACCAAAATCTCTAGGCTCTAAAACAAACAAACTCTATGGCTGTGGTTTGGGAGAAAAGTGTTATAAATCAGTGTGAGAAATTAGCCCACTTGTAATAACACCACATTTATCTTGCTTTAAAATTCATGCTATTAATTGGAGCTTCACTTCATTTAGTAGAAATTAACTGAGTTGAAGTATACTTCTCTGAGGTGCATTAGAAATTGAATTTGTAGGCAAATGAGCTTGTTCCAGGAGTTAAGTTTTCTATGAATATTCACTGAGCATAGTCAGGATTTCCTCTGATTATATAAAGAATGTGAACAGATTCTAATTGGAGTAGCAGGGTGACTCCTTTACTACCGTGATATCCTCCCTGACAGAAGTAGTACCTACAGAGTAATAATGGCTAGACATTTTGAGTTAACAAAGGAATAGTTTGTGAATTAGATTATTGCAGGACTGAACTCCAGTAAATATCCATGCAAACTATCTATGAACTGGACATGAAGGTCCTTATTTATTTTGGCTCAACTGTTCACTGGTGCTAGTTCTCAGGCGACACCTTTAGGTGTGACCATTAGCACTGACCATGATAACAGAACCAAGGAGTTTAGCAATGTCACAATTCAGTGGGGATTCTTGGAGCTTTTAGGAAAAGCGTTACTTTGGGGGCTTTGTTTTCTTGGGTCTTTTTGCTTTATTAGTGCTTTGGCTTATAAAAGTATACAGAGAAAAATTACACTCAAAACCAAAGTTTTCTCCCCTTTTGACCTATAGAAAGTATGGCCTGAAAACTTTTAAGCCTATTTGAAGAAATATTTAGAATGCATTTAGAGATAACGTAAAAGAAGTGGAATCAGCGGCCTCTAAAATTGCTTAAAAGCATCTCATGCCAACACTCTTTCTTTGCTCTAATGAAAGATAAAGTGTTGCTCAAGTATTTTCACTGAAAGGAGTCAGTTTTTCTCTTTGATATTATCACAGAACCATTTTCATAGGCCTTTTCTAGGCCCTGGGAACACGTCCAGGCAAGAACTGTGATGCCAGTAGCGTTCATGTTCACTCGAGTTCTTATGTACATATTCCTGGGTTCTGACCGGTTTCACCTGTCAGTATCATTTCCTTTAGTCCTCTTTTCTATAGGCCATGTCTACATATCATTTGGATTATTTGGCAGATCGTTAATTAATTGCTCACCTTTATAGTGGAGCAAGAATTTCTCCAAATGGTGGACATAGTCACATTATCTTAATGACCCAATTAACTAAATTCATTAATGTCTCCAATAATTAGATACATTCAATTGACTATTAGTTATACAATTGCTTTTCATGGCCATTTGAAAACCAAGTAGAATTGATCCCTTTTAAAAGATTTGCCATATAGTAATCCACTCTGATACGCAGACACGGAGAAAACCAAAGGTTTTACAAAGTGGAGCTCCTTGATGGTTTAATTCATAACTAACAAGTTTTTTTCCATGTGAAATTTGCTTTTCTTTTTCAACAAATCCAGGTCTTGGATGTTCAGGAAACTATAGATCGTCAACAGGGTAAAGAGTATGAAAATGACCTTAGTGAGACAGAAAAAGCTATAGTCAGAGAAATGTGCAATGTAAGTTTAATGTGATTTATTGTGTATTCTGTGTTGAAAGCCCCATCATAGCTTAGTTACCACTTTATGGATACCTACTTTTCAAAATGCTGGCCAAATGCCTTTATTTTTTTATATAAAAATAAAACCAATTCCCCTTCTTATCTTTAGTATATTTTATTGCAGTATTATTAACAGCCATAAAATATTGAGGTAAGCAACAATCAGCCAATTCTGGATTCCAGAATGATCTATGAACATTTTTAAATTGTTTATTGTCTGACATTGTGGTGCTAGTTTTGAGAAATGGGTTTCTGTTTCATAGTGGTACCTAAAAATCAGTGTTTAAAGGCCTGTGATAAAACACAGCCTTCTTCAAACTTATTTATAACCATATTTGGAAAAAAAGTCATGTGATATGGGCACTTCATGTCACACAAAGTAGTATCTTTACCTTTCAGTGCTGGATAAAAGCTCAGAAAATGGTTAAGAGAAAATAAATATGAACATAAGAGATAGACACATAGAAATCAGAGTAGAACACAGTAAAAAAAAACCTGACATGCTATTTTGATGCATATCAATAATGGGATTTGGATTTTATTATTAATCCCTGGCTAAATTTTGAGTAATATGCATGGGTATATTATTTAATCCAAGAATTCAGAAGAGTATAATTGGTAAAGTTTGTTAAAAAGCTAAAACAACCAGATTATATTAAGCACTGATTTTAACTAGCTCTATTGGACTTTTGTCCTCACATTCTTTGTCCATGAGGGTATCAAAATTGCTTAGAAATACCTTTAAGCTATTAGGACCAGATATTCTCATGTATCTACTTTCTTGAGGTATTCTTGGAATCCAGTAAATGTTTTAAGTCCCCTGGGCATTTTATATGTGCTGGGGCCACAGTTTTATTCTCCTGCTTCTTTGTGTTGTAGCTGTTTTTCTTTCCTGCATCTGTTTTCATCTGTTTTCAAAAGGTCATTAGTTCTAGAAGTCATAATTTCCCCAATGCACCACCCTTCACACCTTCTGTAGCTTTTCAGCCTGTCCTTACAGTTTTCAATTTGAGTATGTCCTTCAGATCAAGTCGAATAGTTAAGCCACACACTTAAAAAAAAAAAAAAAAAAAAAAAAAAAAAAAAAAAAAAAAAAA